ACTACTTCAAATATTTTAAAAAGTAATCAGTGTTTTAGAAAGAGAAATGTATTCTACAGATGTTTTATTTCAGCACGTTTTGCATTATTGTTGACCGTTTAATTACAAACGACGCTTGATTTTCAACTTGAAAATTTTTTTGTAAAAAAAATTGACTTTACCGATTTTTTTTAATGCCTAAACCAATTAGTTTTTAATATTTTTTCATGTTTTATTATTCTCTGATTATCCAGCTTTAATAAAAGACCAACTATGATGAAATTAAGCCAAATGCTGATTCTCAGTAACAAAAAAACTAACTAAAATCAAAGTCGTCAATCCGCCATGTTTGGACGCCATTTTGGGGCAGTTCGTTCACTTTTTTTTGTGGGAACATTGGCTTTTTTTTAATAAATTGTCACAAGGAACACAACGATATGCAATTTATAGGGATGTGGGGGGGGGGGTGCACGGTAAGGGGTTCTGGCCCACCGTGTATTACTTTTGTCAGATATGGGAAACCTAACTAAGCCCAAATGAAAAATTGGGAGTTAAATTCCAAAGGATATTGGTTATACCAATTCTTTACATATGGTAACTAAATTTTTCAAGTTTTACTATTACAACTATTTCAAGGTTGACTATTTTAACTTAATTTTTATTCATAAAAAGGATTTTTTTTACCAATCTTGGTCTTGGTCGAGCAACAGTTAGGCGGCCTTATTCTTGATCTTGCAAGGTACATCACCAAGACCGATTTTGGACAACACTAACTATTATAAATCCACTATAATTAAAAATTTAAATAGTTCAAAATTTGATCCTCGATCAATAGATTCATCTCTGATCATTGATATAAAATATTTTTTATGAAATGGTTTACCTCTTACCATAATGTAGATATTGTATATTGCATCTCTTGTTTTATTTATTTTTCATTACTTTTTTGGGAAATTAGAGATTGTTGGCTAAAATATATTTTCAATTTTATCACACAGGATATACCAAGTAAAAATAACTAATAGTGGCATGGGAAGAGGAAATCTGGGAGGTGACAAATATGTCCAAGATATCAGGGTATTGTTTGAGGGAGGTTGGCCAAAAGGTAGGATTCATAGGATAGAGGACAGAGTAATTATTGGAAGTTAAGACAGAAGATAATATGTTACCATGAGAGTTGGATGCTCGACAACCTCATCGTTGGTGTTTAGCATTGTAGTTTCCTCCAGCAATAAAGTGCGATCCTAAGGATTGAAATAAGGATTCAAGTAAGTTGTAGGTAAGAGTAAGACCAGGAGTACAGTATATAGCTGAGAGTGTTAAATTGAAAGGACGAGTTAAAATGATTACTGATATTGCTTGAATAGCCTCAGTTGGAGTAGAAGGAATGAGAGAATGGGATAAGGATGCAAGAACCGGCATGGGAAGTGTTGTAGGGGTGATCTGATCTATAAGCGATGTTGTCACGTATGTAGAAATATGAACGTTTAGTGAAGTGATTTTCTCTCAGTAGAGTAATGTCAATGTGGTGGTAGTCATGAACAAAAATGTCGTACGTCTCGCTGGTTGTGTTGTCCATTAGCATTCCATAAAAGAACAGCTAGGGGCTTTGTACTCATCGTGAGAGATTAAAGGAAATCTCGGTGAGGATTCTTGTGAGGAGGGTGATAAGAGGTTTTATAGTGTTTTGGAGGTCCAATAGGAAGGATGATAGAATGGAAGTTATGTAAGATGGATATTGTTTGTTAAGTGAGTTTAGGATAGGTTCTTGTGGCCGGTTAGCAGTGTTAATTAAGGACGGCATCCATCGTTGTGTACGAGGTGCTTGTGGAATCAAAGGTGCTTGTGCGGGTCTTTTTTTCTGAACATTAGGTTGAGGTAGCTGAGGGTGCTGTGACGTTAATTTGTCTCGTAGGAGTAGATGATGAGGAGAAATTTGCTAACGGGGAGTTGGTGAATTTTTACTTCTAAAATTGCAATTTTTTAATTTGATTCTGCCAGTGAATTTCTGCGGCCCAAAATTGGCAGACAATGTCATTTCTTTATTATAAATCGATTAATTTCTTATTTTAAAATTTCAATCCTCCTGAATTTGATGAAATTTTACACCAGAAATTGCAATTTTTTAATTTGAGCCTGCCAGTGGATTTCTGCGGCCTAAAATTGGCAGACAATGTCATTTCTTTATTAAAAATCGATTCATTTCTTATTTTAAAATTTCAATCCTCCTGAATTTGATGAAATTTTACACCAGAAATTGTAATTTTTTAATTTGAGCCTGCCAGTGGATTTCTGCGGCCTAAAATTGGCAGACAATGTCATTTCTTTATTATAAATCGATTAATTTCTTATTTTAAAATTTCAATCCTCCTGAATTTGATGAAATTTTACACCAGAAATTGCAATTTTTTAATTTGAGCCTGCCAGTGGATTTTCTCGGCCTATCATTGGCAGACGTTATTTCTTTATTATAAATCAAATACTTTCATTACAAATATTTTAAAATTTCAATCTCCTGAAGTTGGTTATTTTTCATACCAGAAATTGAATATTTTTATTTTAAATTTGCCAGTGGATATCCGGGGCCTAATGGAGGCAGACAATTTTACAAGGCAGACAAGTTATTTACTTCTCTTAAACCAAATATTTTCAGATAATAAAATTTCAAGCTCCCTAAAACCTGTAATTTTGATGCTTAAAATTGCAATTTTTTAATTAGTCTGCCATTAGATCGCCGCGGCCTAAAAGAGGCAGACAACATTATTTCTTCCTTTTATCACACACATTCATTGTAGTTATAATTCCAAGGCTGCTAAAGTTGATAAATTTACTACCCCAAAGTTGAATTTTGTTAAATTAAGTCTGTCAAATGATAGTGGCACAGAAAATCACTCAAAAACTACACCTTTTGGTAGAAAGATTCATCTAGCCTGCACTGAGGGCTATTTTCGGCTAATTCGGACCTCTTTACTTGACTGCCATTTTTAAAAGCAGCGGCTTTGGAATGACAGACAAAGCTTAATTTAGTTAAAATGCTGTACACTTTCATAATTTACATTCAAACCTTCGCCTGCGAAGAGGTCCGGTTTTTGGCTCTGTCTGCAGGGCTAAGAGTTAAATAATTAGTTGAGCTGTGAAACAAGTTCAGTGGTGAAAAAAATCATAAAAATTATATTTATTAATGAAGAATTGCTAAAAGTATAATAGAGAAGCTGTATTGCCTGGACTGAAAGTATCAGACAGGTATGAAAAATTGTTTGAATTCTTGAATATAGTGACTTTTATGTTTCTTTAAGTAACCACAACATATTTGTTTATATTTTGAGAATACTGGCTACACAGTATGCTTTTTAATTAGTCGGGACTGGATTAATATATAGTAACATATTTTTTTCTATGCCTTGTATATTATTTTTTGACAGTTGATTTTACGTTTCAAAAATATTACATATTTCGGCGATATCTACATATTATGGTTCATCTTGTTAAAAAAAAAAATCATATTTATGAATAAAAAATACATAATGTATCCTTTATCAATGGTATGTTAGCATGTAAACAAGGAATTTAGTTAATTTTGAGGTAGGAAAACTTTTCATATGTCCTTTTATCACATTGTATATGTCTTAGTAAATGTATGTTGTTTCATCTTCAAATTGCCAAAAGTAAACTCAACCTCTAAAGCCCTTGTATTGAAAAGCATTTGTGAATTTATCTATAAAACTGTTTGTAGGGACTGTAATGTTTTATTTTATCATAGCTGTGAAAAATAAAAAAAAGGAACAAAAAGTGAATAATTAGAGGTAATAACCATATTTTAGTAACTTTATACAAGATAATCTGGTATGGAATCATTATTTTAAGTAGAGCATAATATTATAGTAGAGTAATATTATAGTAGAGCATAACGTAAATATTAAACATTTAAAATATTTTTAAAAGAAGTACATGGGCAAAACCATTCCAGATATTCATACAGAGACATCGCCCTGAGAGGGAATCACCCTTCTTCACACCCTCCTATGATAATTTGAAGACCTAAAAAGTTTGAAAATTAGAAAACCTACTTTAAACTGTGAACATTTTATTCAGAGAGTTATATTATAAGAAGAAAGAATGATAGGAATTATACTATTGGGATCTAAAGGAAGCCAGTTCTTTTTTAACCTGTTTGGAATAGTAATTGTACAATTTCCGAACATCAGGATGCCTGGTTCTTTACCAGAGGGTCCTAGATTGATGTTTGGATTTAATAAGGTCAGTAAGGTTTTGAGGCAGAGGATTCTTTTTAAGGGATTTTTTGGAGGGGAGTGGTAAGGATGCAATCCAGACTGCTTGTTAGATCAAGGTGGTGAAAGAACTCACTGCATTATCTAGGTATTGAGGGGTTTTTAGGGATACTCTGAGATCTATTGCATCTGTTATTGTTCGGCAGAAAAGGTTCCAGTTGACTGGGCCTCTGATGAATGAGGGAGGAGATAACCTGAGGAAAGGAGATACAGAAAGGGTTAGATTTAGCGGACTGTGATCTGAGAAAAGGTCATCGAGCTGTAGAACTGAGTAATTTAGAGGCCCTAGACTTTTGTGAATGGCGAAGTCGAGGATGTCAGGGTTACGGTCAGGATCGGTTGGCCAGTATGTAGGAGTATAGGGAGGAAGGATGTAGCAATTGTGGAAATTAAGTGCAGTTGTTTCTTTGTCACATTTTCTAAAATTCAAAATCTAAGTAATATATTTTTTTAAAATGTCCTTTTCCTTGAAAAATAACAATCTTTACATTGAAAACAATAAAGAGTTAGTTTAGGTGTCTTTCAAAACTTGAAAAATTTTAATGATGAAGTGAAATGATACACTAGCACTGTAAAAGAGTTTAGGTAGAGGCTATTTAAAATTTCCAATATATGATGTCTGGTCATAATAATTTTATTGGGTAGAGTATATCAGTGACAGGATACTATAAAAGAACTTAATTATTTGGAAGGTTTAGAGACTTTAACGCATATTTATTATTTCTTTTGTAGAAGCAGTCGATGAGAAGTGCTACCTATTTAGTGTTGGAAAACAGGACAAACTGGAGCTTTCTTCACCAAACTATCCTGGTCTTTATCCAAACAATACTGATTGCATCCGAGTTATTACAGGTAGATCTATGGTCATTTCTTACATTTGTGCAGCACATTTTTAAACTATTACAAGCTATAAAATAACTCAACAAAAAGAAGTCAGTTTTAGTAAGTTCATCATCCCTCAATTTCGTATGTTTATTTTATTTTTTTTTTAATATTAATTTTTTTAACTTTAAATGATAAATTAAGCATTGATTAATGAAAAGAAGTATTGTTTATCTTCTCCACCACACACCCAAACAAAAATTCTTGCTAAATTTTGATTACTTACTTCATAAAAATAATATTGCAACATTTTGGTATTATCTTTCCTGTTGGTCATTTTCAAACAAATTATTGTACATATACAGGGTGTCCCATAAGTATACCGAAATATTTAAAGAGGTGATAGTAGCCTTCATGAGCTATAAAAAAAGTTCATATTGACAATGGTACTATTTTCCGCAGAAAAGTGGGAAATTTAAGTTTTGAGTATTTAAAATTAAATCACGTTTTTTATTGAATAGGAAGCAATATCTGTTTATTTAAGTAATTACTGATTACTTACTAGTAAACTAGACATAATTTACATACTACTATTCTAGACATATGAATGATAGTGGAGTTTGTCATTAGTAAAACAATTCAAAGAGGACTTTTAAGCGGCAAAATTAAGTTAAGTTCTGTTCTTAGAAAAATCATGAATTATATTTGACCTTTTTTTATCACCTTCCAACTATACCAAAGGTACCCCACTTTTAGGAAATCTTCCTTGTTTAATAAGCTTTAAGGTTATATTAATTGATCTTAGGGTTTATTACAAAATAAGTTGAGATTTATTTCGTGTTGATTAAAAAAATTAACTGATTTGATATCCTGTCAACTAAAAGTACCCTTGTTTTAGGTAAAATTTACTACAATCAATTATTGTAAGACTTTAATTTCTTTCTTTTTTTTTCATGAACTGAGATGTATTATAGTAAACATAATTGCATAAATACACTTTTTATTTATAAAAATAATGATTTTTTCTTATAATATTAATAATGATATTTATCATATTAAGTGATTACGTAAACTATGTTTTTTACCTATATCTCTATTATAAGGATTGATCCGTTCTTACAAGGAAGCAACTAAATGTTCCTAATCCTAATATTTAGGAACAATAATTCAAATAATTAGTATGTACACTGACAAGCAAAAAATTCCACCCACTTGATTTTTTCATGTTTTCATCTAAAAATATTTCTGCTTTGGATTGGTCTATTGCTTTTAATGAATAAATAGGTAATCTTTTTGTTTGTTTTCAATTAGGAATGTTAATATAGAGGACAATAACCCTTAATCCTTAATTCAATGAAATGATTCTAGATGCCAATGTTTACTTTCTATGGAATCAAAATGTTTATTCAGTATCATTAGTTCAATGCCGTTTCTTGCAGCACATTTCTTAGTCTCCACTTTTAATTTTTTCAATATTAAGTCCACCAGTCAGGAAATGTCCCTTTGCTGTAGGATAGCCCATTCCTCCCGAAGAGCCCTTTCAAGGTCCTGCAGTGTATCAGGAAGTGTTGCACGCGCTCTTATTTGTCTTCTGAGGTTATTCCATAAATGCTCAATGGGGTTTAAATATGGAGAACGTGCTGGCCAGGAACAATGAATGAAAACATGAAAAAATCAAGTGGGTGGAATTTTTTGCCTGTCAGTGTATATAATTGTTTATATATTACCCAGTTATATATGCCAGTTATATACCCAGTTATAACCAAAAGTTATTTATCTCCCAGTATATATATATATATATTTGCAATTGTTAATTATTAATTATGAGCTATTATTTTAAATTTATATTTATGTCCAATTGGTAATGAAAGCTGCAGTTTGATACAATATGGGAACATTTTAAAATTCATAGAAGAAAAGCCTACCTCCTTCATAACGTAGAGCTTATTTTCACATGAAATAACATTTACAAGGAACCGTATATTTTATTTTAGAAGTACTCATAATTGAGAAAATGAAAATCATCTTGCCACAAGACATAAAATACATTAATACTAATTTAAAGTATTAATTCATTATTATAAATAAATGTTTCAAAAAATAATCATATACCTACTAATTACTTGAATTATTTTTATTAAAACATTAATATTAGGATTAGGGACAATTAGTTGGTCACTTATAAATATGGATCAATCTCTATAATAGAGATCTGGGTAGAAACAGTTTTCATGATGACTTAAGATGATAAATATTTGAAAAATTGTTATTTTTAACAAATTTTTTATAAATAAAAAGTATATTTCTGCAATTATGTTTACTATCTTATTAAAACATAGGGAGGAGGATGTTTTTTCACTGTGTTTCTTGTCCCTCCATCCTATTTATATCTGCATAAGAGTAAGATTTTCTCTGTGTATAAAATAAATGGTCTAGAACCATGTATATTATGTACAACAAATTGTGTGTTAGGTTAGAGGAGGGGTATCCAAACTTTTTAGCCTGAGAGCCACTTTGACATTTTAAGTAAGCCCCACATAGGGATTTTACGGTACTGGTGGAGCAGCGACATGTCATAGAGTCACAGTTTGGAACAGTGACAACCTGTTCCACTCCCTTGGACCTTATCGGTCCAATGACAGCGACAAAAGTTCTCCTATTTATTAATTTATTAATATGTAGTAGGTTAATAGCAAAAATGCATTTCGTTACTTCAAAGAATTGAGCCTTTCTATTGACTGAATGACTAACTCCAATTTCAACATTTTTGATTATTAATCTTAGTGATATTTCTAGAGGGAAAATTTAAAAATTTCAACGCTGCTATCACCTACTCTGGAATCAACTTACTGTTTGTTTTCCAACTAGAAATATCACTGGTTAAAAATGTTGAAATTGGAGTTAGTCATTCTGTCAAATGAAAGGCTCAATTATGTTATTTGTTCAACAAATACTTATGTTGGATTTTTATCCATTAACATACAAAATTTTAAAATGTTTACATACATACTTATTGTTCCATATCTGTTACCTTTCATTACTATGTTTATTTAATTATGTCTTAATAAAATGATTGTTTTTTTCATTTATATACTTTTTACTGTTTGGATATTTGAATTAATTAGTAATGTACTATTTGAATTAATTAGTAAGTTTAGTATATATAGAGACCAGTTACTGCATGTTTCACGTTGTTGTTTTTTTTCTGCATATTTCAGAGTTTTTTACTGCTTATTATATGGCATATTCGGTGGATGTTTACTGCATAAAAATACGGGTCTTGGTCATGACCCATCACAGAGTCCTATTGTATAAAAGCATGCTCATGTTTTAGTTGTTATTTTGATTCGTTTAGTTCTTTTGTTTATATAGATTTACTTTTAGCATTATTATTTTTCTGTATTATTTATTTTTATTTATTGTAAATAGAATGTGAATGTGCTCTATCCACTATTATAAATGTCCTTAATTGTGACAGATTGTAATAATTCTTGGCACGAGGGCATTATCCATAAACTCATTTTACATAAATTCCCTCCTTACTTAATCCATTTCCTTCACTCATATCTCAACAATAAGTCCTTTTACATTACAGTAAAGAATATCCATTCTTTCTCTGCAGATCTCCCTCAAGGCTCCTGTTTTTCTCCTACTCTATTTAATCTATATATTTCAGATATCCCTTCCTCTCCTTGTCAGGTAGCGGGCAGGTGAACTATTTGCTCCTTGTAGGTTGTTAATCAGGTGGCGGGCTGGAGTAGGCCACCACAGGAGTATTATCCAGAAGCCGAATCTGAATTTGTTATTTAGTTATGGTTGTATAAAAAATGAATTCCATTAAATGTTTATATTTTGTAAATATTGTGTTAATGGCTATTTTTTAAATTTTTATTACATTGTACCAGAATAATATAGTTTTCAATATTATATTTTTCTTGTAGCTCCACAAGGCCACACATTGAAGTTGGATTTCCGAGACAAATTTTCATTGGAACCATCTGATGAATGTAAATTTGATTACTTGGAAGTTCGGGATGGAGCTCATGGGTATGATCCTCTCATTGGCAGGTATTGTGGTGAGTAAACAAAAAAGTACAGACAAATAAATTGTATCAATTTTAAAATTCAGCTTTAGATACTATGTTCAAGACCAGGGGTCTCCAAACTTTTCGACCCATGGACCACCTTAAGACCTTGACTAAGTTCTGCGGGCCGCATTGAGACCTCCACCGATGTCCTGCATCCGGGCCATGGCTAGTGATGAAAAAAAAAGTCTTGTTTTATAAATGTCATTTAAGCTGTGAAATGAGCTTTTTAAAAAAATAAAAAAGCATGCTATAAATGTTGTAGTAACCTCATTTGTGAGGATTTGCTAAATTTCATACTTTTAAATAGTTTTTCCTATTTTACAATTTTTTCAAAGAAACTTTCATGGGCCAGATTGAAAGTGCCCGTATGCCGTAGTTTGAAAACCCCTGTTCAAGACGATTTAAAAAATGTAACATCATTAAATACATGCAATTTATTTTTGAAAAATCACCAATTATGAAGTATTGATATAAAATCTGATAAAATGATCACCAATAAAAATAATTCAGAATAAACCTTGGTAATATCTTACTCATTTTTTAATGTAATTTGATTTCTTTCTACTGTTCATATAGTCTTTAGTTCCAGAAATAATGAAACTGCTTCTTCATTTTTTATTTTAATTGTATTATGTGACTAGTAAAAAGATATATTGGTAACACTGCCTTAGAGAAAAAGTAAATAATCGCATCCTGTACGGAATAGAAGAAGGAAGTAAAATAAGGAAGTGTATCAGGTTATGCTGCGTTGTTCTGGTATGATGACTTTGCTCATTGATAATATTTCAGTGTACTTTTGATGCATTCACTAAAAACAGTGGATGTTAGCTAAATTATTTTGTATAGTTGACTATAATTTACATTACCGCGTAATATTAACTATAACTTTAAGTCGCAATTTGATTACTGCAAAATATCCTTTCATATAAAATCCATTCAAAGTTCCTCTTCAAGAAGCTGCTACTATTTGTGGTGAGAGAACTAGGCATATGTTATGCTGGATTCATGTGAGAAAGAGCTACATTTGACCAAATTTTTTCGATTAGAACAATTCTTTAGATGAGCAGGGAACATACTATATGCATACACTATCTCTTCATTGATTATCAGAAAGCTTATGACTGCATCCTAAGGGATTAACTATATCAGGATATGCTAAAGCTGGGTATTCCATCTAACTTGTGTGGTTAACACTAGTGGCAATGATGGCGGTGAAATGTGCTGTCAAAATTTGAGGCAATATGTCAGAATACTTTGAATCACATAGAGGACTGCGCCAAGGGAATTGCTTGCATGTTTTCTATTTAATATTGTGCAGTTAGGAGATCAAAAATTCACGTTGGTCACCAATTTTAAATCACTCAGTAAAACTGTTAGGGTTTGCTGACCACATTAGATTGGTTGTGAAATCACTAACAACCATAAAAGAAGACTTTATTGCCCTGAAAAGGGGGAGGGGGGGGCTGCAGCAACACTTGGCTCAAATATAAATGTGAATAAAACCAGGTATATGCGGACCGATCCAAGAAGTATGTGCCTGAGGTTAGGAAATGTGGAAATTGGAGGCTTTAATTTTTAATGTGCCTCTGATTTTATATACCTTGGATATCAGGTGAATATAAACAATTCTCAAGCATAAATGCTGAAATACAGAGACTTATTATAATGCCCCAAATTGAGCCTATTATAGCCTTTGAAAACAAATTAAAAGTTGAGTCCATGCACAACCGTTGGTGTTGTAACAGTGCTTTCCCTAAATAGTACTGAATCCAAGATTCTTCATGGGTTATAGTGCTAGATTTTTATTGTATATATCAATTTAATTTTTTTTAAATTTTTTTCCTGTTATAGTTAACCCATTTTATAGACTAATAACATTTAGTAGTGATTAGGAGCATGTCTAGTTTATTTAAATCGAAACATTAAATTTTTGATTTTTGACTTATGTATATCAAGTTTTATATTGGCACAATGCATCAGGATTAAATATTTTATTTCTCTGATTCTTATTGGTTAGTTCTAAAAATAAATAAATAAATTGGTATAAATTAAGTGAATAATTTTGTTTAATGAGTGAACTTGGTATCTATTATATACCAAAGAGTTATAGTTATAAAAAATTGTTACTATAAATTAAATTATATGAAAAAAGGAGTATGTTATTAAAAAGAATTGTTCTGAAGATGGGGATGATGTCCCAAAAACTTTAAAGTTTAAATGTATTTTTTAACTAATAAAATATATTTATGAAACAAGTCTAGTTTGGCAAAAAATTAAATTTAATTGATTGAAAAAATTCTCAGGAAATTCTAAACTTATATGTATATATATATCTTTTGAATGTCTTGTTATTATAAGTAGTACAGCTGCTTATTCTTAAGGGACTTTGTTCCAGAATAAAGTTGATTTTTCTATTCTATTTATCTATTTCTATTTATTCTAAAATCCACTTTATTCTGGAACAAAGTCCCTTAATAATAATAATGGAATACAGGTAAATAAACATTAGTTCTGGCCATAATACTTATTACATTAAATAGATAACTAAAAAATAATTAATAAATATGAGAATGTACATAGTTATCATAGATATGTTTAAATAATAGATGAGCAATAGCCTAACAATAATTGCTACTAAAAATATTATTAGAATAAAATTTAAAATAATATTACAGAAAAATGAAGTTAAATTTATTTTATAAGCAAAACATCTTAACAATTAAAAAAAATAAATCTACATACATGTATTTTAAAGGTTTAAATAAATACTGTTAATGTAAGGAGAGTTTAAATGTGTCTAATGACGGGGTGTGGCGGATTTTAAGAGGGATGTAATTCCAAAAAGTGGTTGAACGGACAATGAAGGAATGTTGAAATTAAGCAGATTTGTGAAAAGGGGTGTAAAGCTCAGCAGAATAAGATCTTGTGGTGAGGGAGTGAATAGAAGATTTGAATTGGAAAAAATCGTCATAGGGCATGCTATGATTGCTGATTATTTGCTGAATAATACTAAAGAATGTGCCTAGAAAGTATTGTCTTCTAAAGGAGGGGAAGAGCTACCCTCTAACTTAGTATAACAGTGGTAAACACGTAATATTCAGGAAACACAATGTATTACAAAAAATTTAAATATTTATTAAACCAAAAATCTGTTTGATAAAGATTATTAAATGATATAAATGAGCTTTTTTTTGTGATACAACTAATAGAAGTTCATTATCATGGATTCTTAAATTAGGATATTCAGCAACATTTAGAGAGACATAAAAGCCATTGACCCTTTAGTTTTGTTGGAAGAATTCAATGATTTTTTTTTAGTTCTTGGTCTTATTAAAAAACTTGGACAAATTGAGACAAATATAATTGGAAATCCAAGGCAAAACGATTGGTTAACGATAATAAGGACTAGCATTTCAAAATATCTGGACAGAATAATTATTCTTACTAAAAATAGTTCTAAGAACCACATTGATGTTCAAAGTGAGATGGTGCACTTACATGAGATAGTCCAGTATTCAGTTAAAAAATTTGGTTAGATTAGGTAAAAAGATGGATCAAACAAATTAGAACCACACATTTGCAGGACCCTTAAGAAATTGGTAGGAGAATATTGTAAAGTTCACTGACCAAACTTAATGATGTTAAAAACCTGCTAGAAAAACACTATTAGCCCAGTAACCTTGTCATGAAAAAAGGGGTCTATATTGCATCGAATGGGTGTAGAAGGTTTCTTTTTTTTCCTTCTTGTATGGGATGTGACTGAGATACAAAATCCAAGTTTTCGACCTCAGTGTCCCCCCTCCCCCCCCCGGATCACTTTTTAATATCCCCAAAACTGCTATATTTTCGGTTTTCCCCATTTTATCCATGAAGGAGCACGTTTTCGATAAAAAACATTCGATAAATTTTTAAACTAAGTTAAATATGCTACAATTTAACACCAGAACTGGCTCCGTAAATGAAATAGTTAACGAGAGATAGATTTTCAAATTTTAGAAAATTTTCGACTTGAACTTGGAGGTTTGGTGGGAGAGAGGGTGCTACAATTTAACACCAGAACTTTCTCTGTAAATCATATAGTTTAAGCGATACAGATTTTCAAATTTTAGAAAAATTTTGAACTTGAACTTGGAAGTTTGTTGGGAGAGGGGTTGATCACTTTTCTCAACCAGAAGATTGAAATTGAAATAAAAAAAATGTTTAACCAACATTTACATCAAGTGTTATAAATAAACATTTAATTTTATGTTTATGTCTTCAATAATCTGCCTTATAAGAGTTAGTGAAGCAAACATTTATTGAAGTTATTATTTTTAAGGAGTAGTATACATGGATATAGGAATGGCTATAAATAATAAGAGCTATAAATAATTGATAAAATAAGTGAGCTAGAATGACCTAAATCATTTATTGCGTTTGATCTTTTTCATAGGTGCCTACCCCAGTGCCGCTTTTCCGCCTATTAAGTGCATTTTCTAAAGAACTGTTCCAAATATATTAAAAATTAATCAGTGATTTAGGAAGATAGATATATTATCTAGATGTTTTATTTCAGGGCATTTTTTGTTATTGTTGGCCGTATGATGCTTGATTTCTAACTTTAGTTTGAACGACTTGGAAAAATTGACTTTACTGGTACTTTTTTTGCTAAGGCCAATTATTTTTTAAATTTTTTGATGTTTTATTATACTCTGACTACCCAGCTTTAATAAAAGACCGATAATGACGAAATTAAGCCTACTGCTGAATCTCATTGACCGAAAAACTAACTCAAGTTATAGTCGTCAATCAGCCATGTTTGGACGACATTTTGGGACAGTGTATAGTTACAAGTAACACAACAATATGCAATTTATAGTGATGTGGAGGGAGGGTGCATGGAAAGGGAGTCTGTCCCACGGACTATCCTCTTCCACCGAATCTCTATCAAAATATTAAAATGAATAAATATTTACTTGACTGATTCATATCTGATAGGTTATTTAAGA